GATCCCAAGGAGTATTCACCATGAAAGCTAGCAGATCTCTGGAACAGGAGACAAACATGTCCAGTTTGTGGCTGAATCTCAATGCCTAGAAATCAACATCTATCATCCCCCACTGTTGGCAAATTGCCTGAAATACCTTGAGATGCAGAAATCAATCCCGAGTCTAACTGAAAGGGAAAGGCCGTCTGCCAATTGTCCCCTCCAGGAATTGCACGGGGGACTACGCCAAGACATGAAGCAATGACTCCTGAGGACAACAGATACTGCAATGAAACCTTGAGAACCTCTTTTCCCTGGGGGGAAGAAAGCAGATTGGAAGACATGATATAAGGAGGGGGGTAGGTTGCAAACTCCAGCTTGTAACCCCGGGACATGACAGACTGAACCTAGTATTTAAACCCCAGGTGCCTGTGCATCTGGACTGTCAGAAAGAGCTCCAAATGTTGTGAAACCAAACGATCCACCGAAAAGGCCCGACAACACCTTCATGGAAGCCACCTCCAGCTGCAAGGTAGGCCCAACGAGAGCAAATTAAGCTTTAAACAAGCTCATGAGTCAGTTGCCCACTTTATCCTTATAGGCCAAGACATCCTCCACCAGGACAGTGACTGACATTTAAAAAAAGGAATAGCAGCATCCACCTCTGGCACAGCCCACTTTTTGAGGAACTTCTTTTCCAGTGGGTACTGTTGTTTGAAACATTTTGGTGAAACAAATAACTTAAGGATGCAGCCAATCCACCTATAACACTTTCTTCACTAGGGAGTGCGTAGGGAGGGTCTTAACCCCTTTTGCTGCCCTAGCTATGTTATTTTTTTTGCACATGCTAAAATCCACATGTTAGGCCTGATAATTACTCAACCCCCCTGAATTATATATTTCCTGAAAGCAGAGACCAAGCAGAATAAAATGGTGGCTGTTGCAAATTTTTGTTTTGCAAGATATTAGCACAACTGTTTATCAAACCCAAAACTTTATTAAAAATACAGAAGTTAATTTTAGTGCCCAAAAACACAATACCCATTATTTTTATTTTAATATAAAAGAGGTTGCGCTGAGTAAATGGATACCCAACATGCCAATCTAAAAAATGATGTGCCCATGAAGGGTGAAAAACTAGGGTACCCCAAATTGTCCATAGGCGATGCTTTAAAAGCCTGTAGGTCAGGTCGTTAATTTAAAGTAACCGTGACTCTTGATCCTAGAATTATTGCTCTCACTGGTGTACGCAGTGATACCCAACATATGGTGCAAGCATTTTCTTACATAGGCGCATCCGGCGTGTGTTTTGCACTAGTATTTGCGTGTATGCAGGGATGAGGGCCTTTAAAAAATATTTTGGGTGTTTGTACATTTATTTTACTTACTATCATTGCCATCACATAGAGGGCTCACAAGTCCCCTATTTTATAGCCACCTTTGCAGTCCACTGAAGCGGATCAAGCACAGATTGTGCTTGGTCAGCTTCTTCCCTGGGGAAACACAGCTCAGAAACCCAAAGTGATGAGAGCATTGCTGCTTCCAGTTTCATTCAGCTGGGAGAACAGCAAACAGATACTCGCTGGTCTCTCGCCCCTCTACCCACCAACAATGCCTATACTGGCCCCACAGGAGGGGAAGCAGAGCCCTAGGAGCAAGGCATGAGTGTGTTGGGCTTGGGGCACACATTTATCGGCCCCTGGAAGCAATCAGACAGCTTTAAAACAATTGCTTCCACTGTAAAGCCAATAGACAGCTTTATACAGACTATAGCTGCCGGGAATCTGTTTACAGGGAGGGGGCTACTGCTGCCGTAGTATGACATTTGTGACATGAACGGATTCATGGGATTTTTCTTAAGGTATCCCATACTGGTGACCTTTGGGTGAGCCTGCTTAGGTTGGTCAAATGTCAGACACTCTCGCACCTCATCAATGAGCACCGAAATGTTACATAGTTAAGGTGACAGAATCGCTGAAGATGGTTCCTCTTTAGAGAAACTTCACTGTCTGAGGAAGAATGAACCTCCATGTCCTTCTCCTCATCCAGCATAAGGGCACTAGCTATGGCCATATTTGTAGAGATTCAGAAGGGGTGGGGGAGGGCGGACTGTGTTTACACCCTCTGCATCCGGAAGATTGAAACAATGCAGAACAGTTTACAATAAAAGTAGGCATGGAGGCTACCACCAGAGTTGTGAGGGGCCCCCTCTGGATACTCACAAGACCGGAGCAGGAAGGGTTAATGGCACAGTCCCCCACCCCTCTATGCCTCCTGGTGCATCAATTAGCTATACAGCAAGAGCTGGGACTTTTCCTGATGTGTGCTTCCGCCATTTTACCTCGCTACCTGTGTAGTTTCACCTGCAGCATCAAAGATGGCTACCGACTTCGCTCCATGCATGCCCAGAAGCACCATGAACACCAAATGGCTACCTTCACACATGCTGGTCGGGGGGCCCCCGAGCCCCCTTCATAGCTGTCCACAGCGGTGCCCACTCAACAGCAGCAGATCTTAGCATGACACAATGCAGTCAGCCTAGGAAGAAGGGGGGAATGGTGGGAGGAAGCTTAAGTATACCCAAGGGTTCTTCAGGGATGGGAATCACACCGGTGAAGATATACCACTGGCTCTAGATCTGTATAGCATCCTGTTTCTTGGAATGCATCACAGGATACAAGGAAATAATTCTGGAACCAATGGGTTATGCAGCTAACTTCAGGTGATTGAACAATGGCAAATCAAAGCTGTAAGTACAGCCGTCTAAAAGCAAACAAAGGGGCAGGCAACACAGCAAATAACGGCCAACAGGCCACTGAAAACAACAACCCTAACAGGGAACCATAACAGAAAGGGCCAACATACAAGAGGGTCGCCTGAAGAACCTTGGGGTGAAGCTAGGCCTGTACATTCACCTAGTAGAACATGGCAAAAGTGTAAACGGAGAACCAGGTAGCAGTCTTAGAGATTTGGGAAACTGAGCCCTTTAAGTGACACTAAACTCAGAAGTCTTAAAAATACATTCAAGTGCCTTAACTATTTACAAAACTGGACATTATTTGTGTATCACTCAGCTGTAGATCCTCATATTATATCGGAATTGGTGCTGACACTGTCCTTCCTTCTGGAGCGGTGACTATTTTGTTCCCCATGGTCCCTGTGTGTGTTGTAAAGTAGCCCAGGCTTGCTCCCGTGATGGACTACAATATCACTTTTAGTTTATTAATTTGTATTGAGATTGTAGTCCATCACGGGAAGGAGCTTGGAGTGGAAGGACAGTGTCAGCACCAATTCAGAGATGATTTTGAGGATCTACAGCCGAATGATACACACATAAGGTACAGTATTGTTAATAATTGGTGTACTTGAATGCATTTTTAAGATTTAACTCCTAAGTTTAGTGTCACTGTAATTCATAGACCTGAGAGATGGCTGGATCAACAACAGGGACAGCCCTTTTTTTTTTTTAAAGGAATTAGGTAATTTCAACAGTTTAGTGAGAGTAAACAGATTTTCGTGGTAATCTCAGTCACCGTACAACACCGGGTGTAAAAGTGCATGTACAGGAAAGGTTTTGGCAGGTTTGGGCATTTTTAGGGAACCCAGACTAGTAAAATTTAACTTTAACTGTAAACAATCAAGGACAGAGATATTGTCCTTATATTTGGAAAAGATGTGAAGAGACAAGTCCATTGAAGAATTAACTCCCAGTGTCTTGTGATGTTCGATCAAGGCAAACAAATTCTATTAGCAGGTAAAACAATTCCCATTTACTGTATACATTTTATCTGTGTATTTAGCAGTTTGCCTGAAGTCCAGCTTTCTTTCCCTGTAAAGTTTGTAACGTCTTACTTTCAAATCCGTAAAATGTTGGTTTTAGGTGGAGGAACTTACCTTTGAAAAGAGACCATATTTCTGAAACAATTGCTCATTTCTACAGCATTTTATATGACTTTTCTAACTGGTTCTACCGACAGATTTACTGTGTTGATTGTCTGAGTGATCTACCAAAATTTCAGCCACCAAAAGATTTCGGCAAAACGCCCATAGTACAAAAACGGCCATAAATGTGGTGCGTCCCCACCAATCCGTGCTGCTCTCCCCCGCCTGTGCCGGCAGAGGGGAACAGAGGGGGATACAGAGCTGATCCAGCTGCCAGCGAGGAGGAGAGATCTGTCAGTAGGCCTAATGGGACAGTGGGGGAGAAGGGACCTGTAAGGAAGCCGAGACCCCTGACATTTCCCCAAAGCCACTAACAGTAAAGTTAAAAAAAAAACAAATAAAAATAAAATAATTCAAAAAAGTAATTTTCAGTTTTGGTCTGACAAATTTTGAAATTTCGTTTTTTTTCTAAAAATGTAATTTTGTTGCTTCCTTACTGGAGACATATCTGGTTTATGTACCTGTGTTGGTTAAGCCCTGGTTCACACCTAGGCGTATTGCATATGCGCATCTGTCGCGCGTTTTTTTACCGCGATTCGCGGTAAAAAAATCGCGCGACAAACGCGCGTTTCCGAGGGCTACTTGGCTGTATCCCAATGGAAACGCGCAACAAAAACGGCCCAAAGTAGTACATGTACCTTTTCAGGTGTGGGCCGTTTTGTAGCGCGTTAGGGACTGGCTGAAATACGCCAAGGTGTGAACCAGACCCATTGAATACAATGGGATTTAGATGTTTGAGCGTTTTGTAGAGCGTTCGTCGAGCGTCAGGTGTGAACGTGGGCTAATATGGTTCTCATGCATCAAGTAGAAATGCTGCTCCGATCCCCTATGTTTTGTCTTTGTTTCTCCCCCTCCCCCTTTTTAGGGTTGTTACTAATATGGATAGTATTTTTTTTAAACTGCTTCTGGTTATACACAATTGTGTTTTGCACATTTCTCTTACAGGATAATGTAGGTAAAAAAAATCCATAAATCATGTAGCTTGACCATGGATTTCCAAAATTTCCCATATGACTGCATGTAAGGTGTTAAATGAGTAGAGTGATATCTGATATTGCATAACTTTCTATTATAGTGCAGAGTCTACTTAAATGTACTACGTAGCAGTCCTTTGACAGACTTGTATATTTTACTTCAGCTCATATGTTTAAGTAGGTTTCAAGTGCATTTATTTTGTTTTCTACAATATTAGCAAAGAGCAGCAAAGCATAATAAATCAAGCATTCCACACCGAACAAGCACCTCTTGAGCTCATACACCAATGATCGAGGAGCAGAGCGCCTGCCTGCTTGTGCCTTCCACACGTTTCACAAAAGGCAAAATTCAAAAATGCACAGTTTACCTTAAAAAAGTAGAAACATATTCAATTTTATGAATATAAACTTTCTGATAAAGTATATACAATCCTCATGTATAGTTAAGGAAGCATTAGAAGGGACACTTAACATACATCTCTAGTAGATTGGGATTGGGCATAGTTAGTTAGCATTACCCCAATTAAACAGATTAGATGTGACATTTACGATCAGGAATGTTCTGAGACTTCCTGGGTGACAGATCCTTCATGCATTATGCATAATAGAGCAACAGAAATATATACTTTTATATAGATTTATATGTACATAGTCCAGCTTACCACATATACACATTTTTGTTTATCAGAATTGGGGGACTACAAACTTTCTCAATTGAAAAATGAGGATCCAATATTAGTTCTTACTCATTGAACCTATAAAAGATTTAGCACCTTTTCAAACAGATTACCCCTGGCACATAGACATGATGGTTTATAAAGCAAAAATCTTGACTTCAAGTGAGGTAGCAGAAGCAGTAAGAAGAAACTTAGCAGAGCATAGAGGAGAGGATATAGTAACTGTCACATAACTTTTTGCACTTTCTGTATAGTGTAGTGTGCTCGGTAGTGTGAAAGCTCTCAGGACAGCTGTGCCTTTACCAGTGATGCTAGAGTTAATGCAAAGCTATATAAATTAAACGTAGCATTATGTAAAAGCAAAACTCATGAATTTGTTAAAATATTCCATATACTAGTAATAATTAGTAACTATAACCAGAGCCTAGTAAATGTTTGTATGCCCTTTTAGAGGTGCTATTGACCTATTACTGTAACAGAGTAAAAAAAAAAAAAAATCCTCATAATATGAAAATCAAGAGAAACAGTGTAAAATATTACAGAAGATGCAATCTGGAATATGAAACACAGAGTTGAAGGTTGGCTTGTGATCGGAACATAGCACAAAAAAAGTTGTCACGGTGGTCCGCTACAATCTTGATATAAAAAGCATCTGCCTGTATAAATCAGACATTAAAACATTCCTCCAAGTTGCCTCCAGTTGTTTGTAGACACAGGGTCCTTTATAGTTATACTGAAGACTGGTCCCAAACCTGAAGTAGAAATAGAGATAATGTGTATTAACATAACAAAGTATACTACATAAAATAAAGGTGATGGTGTGGGGAGGTTTGATCGTATTTACAATGAATAACCATATATTAATAGCTTGTGAAAAAATCAGCAAACAGTATGAAACTATTGCCAGTTTCCCATAAGTACACATTGATACAGCAACACTTTTAGATTTATCTGTAGCTATTAGTGAGATATAGATATATATATATATATATATATATATAAGGGATGCACCGATATATCAGCCGCCGAAACATATTGGCCGAAAATTACACTTTTGGCATAATGCCAAAAGTGCCATTTTCTGGCCGATACAGTGGTGCATCCTAGTCTCTCCTCCCTGCTGGGCGTTGCTCTGTGCCCCAGCGGGGAGGAGAGAAACTGTCACAGGCGGCCGAGCGCTGTGGGAGGAGAGCGCTGTGAGCAGCCGGCGTCTCTCTTCCCCGCACCGCTCAGCCTCCTGCCACAGATCAGGAGAACGGTGTGTGGGCGGAGACAGCCATTGCTGTCACATGCCTCCTGTGACAGCCAATCCAGGATGGAGAGCGGCGGTGTGGGCGGAGACAGCTTTCATTGCCGTCACAGGAGGCTGGGCTGCGCGGTGCGGAATGAGAGCTGTGACAGCTGTCAAGATGGAGAGCGGGTAAAAGCACTCATGGATCGCTGAGTGTTTGTACATAATTGAGGACATAGTATGGTTACTATAGCCTCAATTATGAATGAATGGGAAGTGATCTACATCACCTCCTGTTCATTCATGTTTGTGGTTATTGTAAACATACTCTGTCCTCATGTAATCAATAAACAGGAACATTCAGTATAGAGCATTTCTGTTCATCGAGAACAGGGGACACAGAAAAAGAGATTGAGGACTCTGTGTTCTCAATCTCTTTTTCTATTTTAAAAGGGAAATATCAGCTGTCTGTTTAGACCCCTAATATTTCCCCGAAGCCCCTAAAAGTAATGTAAAAAATAAAAATGAATAAATAAATAAAAATAAAATATAAAAAATGTAAAAGTTTCTAAAAAATAAATTAAAAAAATATTTTTAAAAAATTGGAAAAAGTTAGAATAAAAAAAATTTTAGGTTTCGGTCTGACATGTTTTTTTCGTTTCCGTTTTGAAATTTTCCTTTCGGTGCACCTCTAGTAATGATGCTATGGCAGAGTAACAAACGTTTATATTAAAAAAAACCTGCAGAGAGACCTGTTGCAAAAAGTAAAATAATAGGTATTCAGACCTGGTAACTTAAGGGATCAGATAGTACCACATACGGCCTCAAGATACATAGGAAAACAACATGTGGTTTAACTTTAGCATCTACCAAAAACTAAAGCATCAGCTTTAAGTAAGGACAGGTGCAAAACACATGTCCTATCACCTTCACCTTCTTTATTATTATACCGTATGTCTGTGTATAACCAGAAAATAGATGTTGATGTATCCTACCTTATTGACTTGTGAAAGTGGAGTTCTCACTCCCCCTGTAGGTACTCGGCCTCTACCACTGTCATCAAACATTCGTCCAGGTGACCTTTCTCTTCTGGTGCTCAGAAGTCGTCCAGGAGACTTCTCCCTTTCCAAAGGCCTCCCAGGAGACTTGTCCCTGCGCATTTCTGTCCTTCCTTCTCGAAAACGGTGTGGTGTACTAGGCTCCCGCACTAGTCCTTGGACCTCACCTGGCACAGGACTAGATGCTACTCTTTTTGTTATGTGGTCATTATACGAAGGTGGACCTCTCTTGTTTGGACTGCAATGAAGAAAAAAAAAGGCTTCTAAAATGGGTCCTATTGCTTGTAATCTTTTAAAAAAGTCATATCTATTTGAATGGAAATAAAATATAATGATGTAGCAATGGGCATTCATCGTGGAAATTCATTCATAAAATATAGCAGGAAAGTGGCAGTGGTGGCTAAGAAAGAGTTTTATTATGTAACCTAAAAACAAGTATTGAAATGACTCACTGATCTACTGGTGATCTTAGCTAAAGCAATTTGGGTAATGCCATAGGTAATGTTCCGAGATCATATGGGCAAAGACATGAACTGCTCTTTCAACATATCACAATAATGCCTTTTGCAATGAGATACCCACAGATCAGTGATTTCCTATTTTACTCATTATAATCTTGGCTCTTCAGTGTACTGGAGCATGGATTTTAAATGAACAAATAAGATACTAGTTATGCATTATGAGTGCTCATAATAAATCAAATGTAGTATTTGGAAAATCAACTTCAGACATATTTTTATGAAGTACATCTCATACTAACTACCGTATTTTGCGCTCCATAAGGCGCACCGGACCAAAGGACGCAGGGAGGAGCTGCAATTAGTGACAGCTGAGACAGGTGGTGCTGCGATTACTGTGCCACGGTCTCAGTGATCACACAGAGCAGACAAAGAACGGACGTTCTTCGTCTGCTCCAGGGGCTCTATGGTGAGCTCCTATGCCGTGGTTACGGGTCCCCAGAGAAGCGGGGGACCCAAAAAACCACGGCGGGGTGGGCCCCCAGGCTCGATCGCTGCCGCCGCTCGGTTTTCATACACGTGATCTGGTTAGATCACTTTTATTAAACGAGCAGTGGCTCCCACTGTACATTCAGCTCTGCTTTAGCAGGGCTAAATGTACAAAAAAAACTACTCGCCCGGCGCCCAAAACTGCATGTCCCGGGCGTCGGGCGATAGGGATTCGCTCCATAAGACGCACACACATTTTTCTTCTTCTCTTGTGCCTGCCTCTGTGCACACACCTCCTCCTCCCTCTTGTGTGTGTCTTCATTTCCAAAAAATTGCAGCAAAAAAAAAATAACACCTCGGGGTGTCTACTTTCCAAAAATGAGACATTTCAAGGGTTTCGTAAGGTCCTGACATTGTTATTTGATATGTTTTATAACAGGGGGTAAGGGAACTGTTTTTTCCCTTTATATTATAAAGGGCAAAAAAAACAAAAACAATAAATAGTTGTTAAATACCACCAAAAGAAAGCCTCATATGTCTCAAAAAAATGACACAGAATGAAGGGGGTTGATCCTGCCAGTACTAAAGTGGTTTTAAAGCAGAACTAAATTGCCCATGTGTTTTAAAAATGAAAAATGCAGCCTGTGCTGCAAATTCATCTTCTCTCCAGTGTCCTATCACTTCTCCGGACCCGTTTTTTTTACCAGACTTCAGGGGACGTGAAGGGCTCGGCGTTTGCACAACTGTATTGTGGCTTCACGTCCAGAAAGCTCACGGACCAACATGCAAGTGCACTGCAAATCAGAGGCTCCAAGTCCAGAAATCTTATGAACTACCACGTATGCGCCAGTCCAGACATCTCATGGCTACTGTGCATGAGTGGATCTATGTTTCTTCATCACCAGGGAGCATAGAGCCGGCTTCCCGGCTAATCAGGAAGCCAGAGGGGCGAGTAATGGACTCGCCTCCCGGCTTCCTGATTGGCCGGGAAGCCGACTCCCTCGTCACTCTGTGACGAGAGAGCATGGAGCCAGCTTCCCGGCCAATCAGGAAGCCAGAGGGGCGGGTAATGGACTCGCCTTCTGGCTTTCTGATTGGCCGGGAAGCCGACTCCCTCGTCACTCTGTGACGAGAGAGCATGGAGCCAGCTTCCCGGCCAATCAGGAAGCCAGAGGGGCGGGTAATGGACTCGCCTTCTGGCTTTCTGATTGGCCGGGAAGCCGGCTCCCTCGTCACTTTGTGACCGGAGAGCATGGAGCCGGCTTCCCGACTAACCAGGAAGCCGGGCGGCGTGTAATGACTCACCGCCCTGCTTCCTGATTGGTCAGGAACATAGCCAATCAGGAAGCCGGGCGGCGAGTAATTACCTGCCCCCAACTTTCTTATTAGCCCGAAAGCTGGCTCCATGCTTTCTCGTCACCTAAGAGGATGGAGCCTGCTTCCCCGCTAATCAGGAAGCCGGGTGGCGAGTTATCACGCGTCACTTGGCTTCCTTAATGGGACTTCTGGCTTCGGTATCAGCGAGCACCGGAAAAAATTATATCGGTGCATCCCTAATTACTACTGTAATATTCTCTGAAAAAATATAAAGGTATACATACCTCCTTGTTGTTGATGGTGCACGATGAAGATCATTTGCATTGTCTTTTACCAGGTTGCCCTTGCAGCAGATTACTCTCAGCTTGTCTTGGTAAACAGATGCCAGGTAGATGGCACCAGAGGAGATTGCTGGCCCCAGATATCGTGGATTGGGAATATCCAAATGCGCCCTGGCTGGAGCACTGCAATGATAAACGGCTTTCATTTACCACTTTCCAAATTTGATGTTTATTGAGCTGTTTTTAATTTTAACAAAACAACTTACCCTAGAGCAGCACGCCCCTGAATCTCAATAACTTCCAAGGAGTTAAAGTGTGTAACAAATAAGTATGGTTCTCTGTAAGCTAAATAAAGAAAAAAAAAATCTTAACCCTTAAAATCGAGAAAGTGGTACAGGTTTCTCCAGTTCATTTGTAATAAATCTCTAAGGAAACCATACTTTATAATGGTATGCCATATCCCGCTACTGGTTTGGGGCCCACTGGGCTGTTTTCTGTCAACCATTTTAGTTGATGGTACCTAAAGCTGCACCTGGTACTAGACTGTTTTAATGTTGCTTACAAATAAATGTAGAAGACAAGGTATCAATCTGAATGCATCACCTGTGAACAAAGGTAGCTTTAAGGGCGTGTTCACACCATGTCCATTGATCTGCATAGATCAACACAGGCTCAACACAAGAGCACCTGGAAAACCCAAGGGCCTTTCTATGTGTCCTGTTCACATTTTACACGTGCGGTGGTGTGCGCCATGTGAAAATTCTGCATGTATGCTTTTTTTATGCAGCGCAACTACAATATGGGTCAGCACAGCAAATTGCACAAAGTTGAATGAAGTGTTATTTTGTGAATGCAGCTGGATGGAGCGCAAGAGATGCAAAGGAAAGGTAAGTATATGCTACCAGGTTTGCTCACAGATTTGTTCTAAAAGTAAAAATATGTAAGTTACAGTATAGTTAGGCATCAACCATGCATACCTAAAAAAACGCATCTTATATACTTACCGAATGCAAGAGGCAACCGACTCCATTTCAGATCATCGGTACGGCTTCGCCTTCCATAAGAGTCAACGAAAACACCAAACTCTGCAGTACAAAGATAAAGTGAATTGTCAGCAAATACCAGTACTAAAAAAGGTATAAAAGAAAATATCACTTAAAATAAACAGCTTGTGTTACCATGGAAACAGAGGAGGTATTCTTCCCTCTGACCTGTGCTGTTCACCTGCATTATAGCAATGGGGAAACTATTGGATGAAGAAGCAAACACAGCTGAAGCCAAAGAGTGGTCATTTTTATCTAGGAATTCTATCAGTGGTAGGTTTAATGTAAAACAATTAAAGCGCAATACAAATATGTGTTATGTTCAAGTGTAGTCCAATCGATATCTGTGACCATCATCCATGGTAACAGGGTAAAAGTGGCCACGCACCAGTTTCCTTATATCTGATGAAAGATCAGCAAAATGTAATAATAGCTATGTTGTGCAAGGGTCTATCAATACAATTCATTCATTGCTTGTCCAATCACATAAGCCCTTCATTACACAAAGATAGGGGTATATTTTACTGGTCAAACCTCGCACTTATGTGTGGCCAGTTACAGAAGCTAAAAGTAATCTGCTCCAAACAAAAACATTTGTCTCAAACTGCCACCGACCCAATGTCTGCATACTGGGTCCAAGGCAAGGGCTTCTTTCTGAAGTTTTATAGGTTCAATTTCACTGCACCGGAACTATAATGCAGCTTATGAGTGAAAGAATGGCAGCTTCTATCAGAAGCTTCTGAGACTGGTGTTTTCCTTAGTGACAAATCCCCTTTAAGTTTTATAAAGCTCACTTTATTAGCTGATAAATGATAATCCCTGCCCAGACATTTTAGGGAGGGAAATTGTAGGTTCATAGATTGCTAAATATCTCTGACAAAACTAGGTTTTCAGAATGAAGGTCAGTTCATTTATTACATGTACTACTGTGCCTGGCTTCAATATTTTTACTCTACAGTATTGCTGTAAAATTGACTTGACCTTATTCTGCTTTTTGACCCATTGCAATAGAGTTTATTGCAAACCCTTACATATTATAATATTGGTGCCTGACTAACAAAATATATACTGTATATAATAAATGACTATAACATTATTCTATGTTTTCCCACATATACCTATCAATTATAATACACATTACAGCAGTATTAGCCTTTCTCCTATGCAAGCTGTAACAGATTTCTTTGTAAACAAACCATTGAGTTTGAATGCAATCACTATGTTATGAATGATGATTGGTTCCATATCATTAATAGAGATCAGAGCTGTCAGACACAGCACACTCTGACAGCTAGCAGCAGGCTCCCGTACAGCTGCTAGCTATCAACCCAGGAACATAAGGTAATGTTCCCTCAGCATAGGGCAGCATTCTGAGCAAAGTGAAACCACACATTAGTCAGGACGGGGTTTAATACTTTGGTCTGAAAACAATCTATTAAACATTCAGCCTCATTTATTTTTAAATTGGGAGGACTGCTAATATTAAATGAACTAGCCTCATAAACCAGGTATGCAGAAGACTTGCTAGGGGCACGATGTAATAGGCACCTCCAGGTTCTCTGCTTCAGGGGCTATTCACACCATATGCATTTAGGCTGTGCTGGCCATTTTTTCAAGCGCAGCCCAAACACAGCACTGCGTTGCATTTAAAATATTTTTTAAAAAGGTATGGCATGCAGTACTTTATTTAAGCGCACCACAGTGGGACACGGTACATCGGCATCGCGGTGTGCACATAGAAATGAATGGAATGTCACTTGTAAATTAAATTGTTACTAGTAATAACAACAGCAACAACCCGCCTCCATCAGTAGTAGGAGGAGGAAAAAAGAAGAACACTGGTGGTTGCGGGGTGCTCAAATTTATGAGTTAAGGGTCCTATCAGATTGGTTAGGGAGGCGGGGCCATCCCATTTGTGTGCTGCCATGGAGCTGTCAGGGGAAAAAAACAATGTGATGTGGCTTGATCGGCTGCTAAGCTAAGGCCCTTTTCACATGGGCGGTCCCGATTGGGTCCACCTGTTAGTTTTTCAAACGAACCCGATCGGATGACCAATGGGCAGCCATGTGTAAACGGACGAGCGTCCATTTACACATGGTAACACCCCCGGCTCCGGCAAAACAGACGGAACAGTGCTCCGTTTCGACAGACCAAAACGGGGGTAATCTGATGTAAACGAGCACATGTCCGTTTACATCAGATTTAAACACACGGGGTCTGGCAGTTTCAGTTTTTTCCTACATCGCAGGATGGAACATAAGACTGTACGGACACGGATGTCACAGCAGTCTTATGTTCCATCAGCATCTAAGCTAATGTCCAGGGTGCTCCAAATTCCTGGGTGCCCTGGCACACAAAGATCAATCAAATTTACTGGTTAATATTCTGATTCTACTCCTTCTGCCTCCTAAATCTCAATATTGGCCAGAGATACCACCCAACACAAGGAAAGGCCAATGAACTACATATTTCTGTCATCTAAAGTTTCCTAAAAGCTGTTAGATCAGCTCTGGTCTAATGCAACTAATTTAATTTACTGCCTTTCAATGCAATGGAAAAATACACAGATGTGCAGCTCTGGGTCCGACACCCTCAAACACCATCCAACACAAATTGGAGCAAACATATTTTCACAATCATTTTTAATGTATGTCTCTATGTATGATAGCAGATATCTTGAGCAGAGCTGCATAGTAAATGTAACCAGAATGCCACTCGTTCTGTCACTGTATATGTCTTTAGGTTACTAGAAAACCGTCTGGTTACTCACCCTCAAGAGTGTATTGCTTCATTTCTATCTCATAGAATTTATTGGTTCCAATGATGATGCTGTAGCCGGTAAAATAAATACAGCTGCATGGTTCAGATGTTTCAATTTCCTATAAAACATGAATGGACATCTTAGAGGTTAAGAGTTCAGGGAGAAAGTATATTGTAGACCCAATATAAAATGTAACAATCACATTCATTAAAGCATTCATACTTGTGTTTCCTGTTATACAGTGTACCTCGATCAGCCATAACATTTTAAACGCCCGCCTAATATTGTGTAGCTACCTCTTTGCCACCAAAACAGCCCTGAGCAGTTGATGCATAGACTCCATTAGACCTCTGAAGGTATGCTGTGGTATATGGCACCAAGACGTCAGTAGCAGATCCTTTATGTCCTGTAAGTTGTGAGGTGGGGCCTCCTTCGCTCCCCACGTGCATCAGTGAAACTTGGCTCTGACGGAGTCGTCTAGCCATTACAATTTGACCCTTGTCAATGTCGCTCAAATCCTTATGCCTGCCCATTTTTTCTGCTTCCAACACATCAACTTCAGGGATAAAATGATGATTTGCTGCCTAACATATCCCACTAACTTCCAGGTGCCATTGTAATGAGACAATCAATGTTATTCACTTCACCTCTCAATGGTTATAATGTTATGCCTGATTGAAGAATACGGTAAGCACAGATTTTTTTTTCAACTAGATTGTGTGTCTTATAGTATGTCTGAGGTCAGGTCCACCCATGTTCCCCAGAATTGATCATGATTTCTGCACTCCAATAAAAGCATATAGTGAGATTGTGTAGAAGGAACACAAATACAAGGGGCTATAGAAATATTCCTAATAATGACACATGCATTGTGCATACATAAGGAAAAGAAAAAATGATTATAGACAAATTCATAGACTTTTCAACAGAAAGGACACGCTACAGGGCAATCCCACACAAAAGTGTAGGAAAGAGTCAGTTATGTGATGTGATTATCCTCCCGGAGCACAGCAGCGTGTGTGGAATAAACAATGTATCTAGATCAGCTTGTCTCTAGAGGTTATAACTGTATTTAGGACCTCTAACAATTCCTCTGAAGACAGCAGGGAAAAAGCTCACTTCCATCTGACCCAAATCTTGATTGCTCTGGATGATTAGGATTCCATGAATAAAGATTAAATGAAAGTAATTTAGTATTCAGGTCAATTAAGACCTTTATAATGGCGGTATTTGTTAAGATAGTTCTGTGTAGCAAAGACGAATGAGATGCATATTATACTGTAGTAAAGCAGGTATTTTCACAACATGCACATAAACCCTTTTTACTCAACTGAATATAAAATATGTACTGCCTTCACAATGAGAAGATGTACCAGCATGCTTTAGGACCAGGATAACGTACGCACCCAAACTGGCCAACTATGGGAGACTGCCAGTAAAAGGCAGAGACTAGGGATGTCCCGATACAGGGCATTTTGACAAGTACTTGTACTTGTCAAAATCCCCCGATGCCTAGTGCCGAAGCTTGCGCTATTTTTTTTTTTCTTACTTACCTCGCCGAGCGTCCCATCACTGCTGCTCCGGTGGGCGGAGCTCCAGGTGGGGTCCTAATTTAGGTGGCCGGAGACTGCCAGATGACCCCGCTTGGAGCGCCGCCCACCGAAGCAGCAGTGACGCGACGCTCGGCGAGGTAAGTAAGAAAAAACCTTGCAACGGCGAGTCAGCTCTGGTACGGCGAGAGGAGCTCCGTATACAGGGCATTTTGACAAGTACTTGTACTTGTCAAAATCCCCCGATGCCTAGTGCCGAAGCTTGCGCTATTTTTTTTTTTCTTACTTACCTCGCCGAGCGTCCTAGCGCCGACTACGAGAGGCACCACGTGAGGCAACAGGGATCGGAGTGAAACTGTGAGTGAGGGAAGCTGGGATAGGGCTGGCCGTAAATCTATTGCTATAGTGTACTGGACGTGTGTAATGTATATGTAGTACATATATACAGCACACACCTCCACTACACTCCCAGCAATAGAGTTACAATTCTCCGCTGCTAACATGAATAGGTTAAATCATGATCCATAGTACATAAAATGTAGTTGTACTATGGATCATTTAAAGTCACCTGTCCCTTTAAGAAAAAGTATCGGTAATTGGTATCTGCAAGTACATGAGGGGAAGTACTTGTACTTGGGCCTTAAAAAGTGGCATCGGGACATCCCCAGCAGAGACTATCAACAAATTGATGAAGCTCCTCACAGAATGTAATGCTGATGTTACATGGTTTGAGTCATTAACTTTAAAGCTGGCCACACACTCAGAAAATCGAGCGAATGTTCCAAAAACAAATATCTTCAAACAAATTTCTCTAATGGTTGGTGGAGTCTAATCGACGTTCTCCCTCAACTGTAGTGACAAGGAAAATTGAAGGAGCAGGACGGAAAATTTCTTACTGAACAAAATGTGAATGTGATTTTCATTTTGGAAAAATCGTACATATTGAAATGCGCATGTGCTAGGCACAAAAGAAACCCATTTAGTATACCTGGTATTCTATTTACATTACATTCACAGGTCTGGGCAAAAATGTTAAGGGATGGCAAATGAGATTAGTTGACTCAATGATGGCTAGATCGTAAGCTCTAAAAAATGATTTTGCTTCCAATAAATGTTGGAATGAAATTCTAACATAGTCTAACATAGGGGGGCATTCCCTCCCAAACATATCAGTGAAGCCAGGGTAACATTTTAACAGGAGTGGAGGCAAAGGTAGCTCTGGATGTGTGTTTGCAATGGAAACAAATGATATTTTTTGAATGAATAGGCCTGCCAGCAATACATTTATACAACTGGCAGTAAAGGTCTAGAAGATTAAGGGGGATTATCTATTTTTATTTACATGAAATAGAAAATAAGCATACATACCTTTCTTATGCAGAACTTGTTAAGGCTTTCATTATACCTCAGTATGACAACTTTATTTACCATGGCTGCACAAATGCACAAACCATTCTCAATCTAGAGAAACAATAAAATATACACTATTAAAACTCTAATATGTGCAATGTCATTTTAACATACATGTAAATGTGGCACAGTGATAACCTATTTTACACGAATATTGCTCCTACATTGTTGTTTAGTTTCCGTTAGCTCTGAGTTCCGTGCAATAAACTATTAGTCATTGCTATTAGAAACAACATGATAGATACAGGGCTTTTGTATACGACTAATTTACATGATCACTTTGAACTTTGTTTCATTCAGCAAGAACTGAAGCATAACGCTGAATGCAGAAATGAAAGCAAGTTGACTGCATTCAATATATTCCTGGCATGTCACAACAGATAGCAAAAGTAAAAAGTGTCTATTATGATTAAAAACAGTCCTTGTCAAGTGGTTTAGTCTAAAATGATGTAATCAAACTGCAATATTAACTTTGTAGCAAGCCATGGTGAAACGGTGTAGCAGGAGCTGACCTGTGTAAGAAAAAGGTGAACACAGCCAAGAATTACATAGACACCAGGATTCACATAGTAGAGTCACCACCTCAGTCTAGAAAGTAGATGGTGACCCAGGATGATGCCTGAACAAAGATGGCACCATCCTTTTTGAGGAGAAAAAAAAAAAAGCAGATGAAGTCACATGTAGGGGTAGTACTGTGATTTCTGTATTAGGCAATACATAATGCTAAGTTACACTTACAGATTTCTTTGCATGTATGGACTTAATATGAATAGTAAATCTAATGTTAGGTCTACTTTAACCATGTTTAATGTCCGGCAATTTCTACATGAAACTTTTGTGCAGTGTGGCTGGCACACCATTCAACATGCAAGTGGCGTGAACACTGCTCATGAACAGTCATTAGCATAATCTGGCTGTGTCTCATGAAGGTATGGCTTTAAATTCATTCTCGTACATCATATTACCTTTTCAATTGAAAACACATGAGTAATCCCTAATTTTCCTGCCACCATGCATAGCTCACCTTTCCTGCAGCAAATAGATGGCATCCTTTAACAGCCTCAAATACTGTGAGTGATATCTCAGGTTGAGCTGGCAGATGTGCTTGAGCCAAGGACTGCTTTACTTTCTTCACATCGATCAGACACAAAGCACGTTCTTCTCCTTAAATCACAAATAGGACCTCTCAACATTTGTAATATATTTCAGACTATGACTATGACTTTATGTTCTCAGTTTACTACACCTTAATCAGAACATACATTTATCTACCCAGCAGAACAATGATCTCTGAAATCTGATTAGTAGATATTGGCAGAAAACTCTCAGTTAATCTTTTCTTATTCACCTATTATTTTGCCTTCTAATAGATGCAAATTATAAAAGCATAAAATGCACCCCCCCCC